TCAGTTCTTTTGCCGGCTAAAACTTTTGTGCAAACTTCAGTTGAAAACTTCATGTGTTTATATCCCTTACAGCTGGGCAAAAATCAGAATTATTTCAATGCTCACTTTTGCTGGGGTTTTAAAGAAAAATTTGATAAAAGGAATGGAAAAGTAATTCAGAATGTATTTTTATTCAATCAAAACTTGCCTTAAATGATTTATTCCAAAAAAAGCAGGGGTAGGCATTATTGTATGCATGCTAAAGCTCAAGGTTGACTGGCCTTGGTCACCTAAGCAAATAAATTAGTAATTGTTACATACTACACCTTAAAAAAAAAAAAAAAAGAAAAAAAGAAATTGACTTGTCATACATATGTAATATATTGATCAATAATATATTATGTATTGTTATTGTTATTTATTTATTTATTATTATTATATTATTATTATTATTATTATTATGATTTATATTATTATTATTATTATTATTATTATTATTATTATTATTATTATTATTATTATTATTATTACTACGACAGTAACATATTATGACAACATGATATTATTTGGAAATCTAATTTTGAAGAACATATTTCATTAAAATAACAAAACTGTATTCAATAATACAGTTTTAGGATGGGTTGAAAAAATTTAAACTTATGTAATTTTCGAAATTGTGAAGGTTTGATTGAAAATCGACATTTTTATCAGCATACTTTTTCTTTATTCAAGCAACAAACGAATGAACAAATAAAGCCTCAGTGCATCAATTATTGGCACTGCAGGGTCTCAGGTCCTTGGGTTCGAACCTCGACGACGAATTTTCGACATTCGATTGTTTGGTCGAATTCAGTCGCTCTCTGGAGGAGAAATCTAGCGGACGGCTGCTCTGATTAGTTTTCCGTGGTGTCTCCGATCAATAGAAGGCGAATGCCGGAACTAGCTTAACAAACGGGCAATCTTTCCTTCTTTATCCTTGTCCCTCCCGACCTTCCCTTACACACTCCACCCATTCCCTAATACACTTGCACTTACACGCACTACACTACCGCACGTGTCGGGTGCTTAGAGCTTGTCCTGGCTGAGGCGGTGCTCCGCCGGGGTAGATACCTGCATTGGGAAATTTTCCGCAAGTCGACGTGTTGATCGGCGCCGTATCTCACCATCCAGCGGGGAAACGAGCATCATCACTTCCCGGGATAAAACAGTCATTACACTAACGATACCCTTGACCATAGGAGTAAACGCGCCCGAGAAAAACAAAATAATTAATCAATAAATAGAACGGGGAAATATTCATTTTTTAATAAATTCTGCGAACGGTTTAGGCGTGTTGCCCAGATAAACAATCAGACGATTTGTGTGAAAAAAAAAAAAATTAAAAAAACAAACACTTTTCCAGTATTAAGGATCAGCTTAATTTTTCGGTATCAGAGGCTCTCAAAGCATCATCTGTCGAAAAATCGGCACTTTTGTTTCGGCATTACATAACGTTCTCTAAAGACCGTATATACCCGAAGGGCCGTGTTACCCGAAGGGTCCAGACCCAGGGCCACCAATTCCCCATAATTCTCTAAAAAATTATTTAATTCTATTTTTTTCGAAAATAAAATAAAACCTCGTATAAAAAGATGATGTGTGATTAAACAATCCGCAAAAATTGAGCATAACGGAGTGGTGTGTCGCAAATCATTGGATAATATATATATATATATATATATATATAAAGTGGAATGTGGCTTGTTGATGCGAGAACGTCACTCAGTGATAAGAGGTTTAGTTCTTTTAAGAAAACTTGTCTATTTATTTTCTAGTCTTTTTCAATGTAATTATAAATCTATTATTATTACTTACTCATGCATGCATATCTTTAAAGTTTTTGTTTGAATAATTTTCAATTGAAACACTAAGAAATATTTTCAAAATATTTTAAAAAGAAAACAATGTAAATTGATAGGATTTTCTTTATACTTCAGCACCGAAATTGGTGGGGGGGATGACAGTAACAATAGGGGCCCCCAAATTAACTCAGGCCCAAGGGTCCCCAATGATGTTAAAACAGCCCTGCGTATATGACAAACTAAAACACATCTTTCTGGTGAAAATGACTCACAGAAGTAATTTAGTATGTGTATGTGAAAGAAAAATCCATTTGTTTCGCTATCAGGCACCCACAAAACCTATTCTTCTGTCGAAAAATTGGTACTTTTCCTGTGGTTCAGAAGTGATACGAGATGCAAGTAAAAATATAAATTATTATTTATTATTTAATTTCAAAGTGCAGATCCACTGCACAATTTGCTCACGAGTGTCGAAGTAAGATATATAACTTTTTGACGTTTGTCCCAGATTCTCCCATGTACTAGTTGATTCACCAGTGTTGCGGGTGCGGGTAGTAACAATTAAACAACAATGCCAACCATCACTGAGACTTTTTAGGAGTTCGTTTTTTCGGTCCTTGTGTGGTGAGCCCGTGCACGAGTG